ATTGGTCATTGAGTGTGGTCATAGCTTAAGGACAATTAAATGTGTGATTTTCCTGCTTATCATTGTCTTTTACTATGGACACTCACTGTGTGACTGCTTGTACTTGTATTGAATAAAGAATTTATCAGTGTTAAACTGATTCTTTATTGGTTTTGATATAACATGATTAGTCTTATTAACATATTATCAAATTCCCTGGTACTGCCGAGGGTGGGGAGAGTCAGCTCTCCCTCTCCAAATGCTCTCACATGGACCGTGCATACAACCACCACCAGGGAAATACTATTCACTGCATTCTCGTGGCATTACTGTTCTTTAAGAAATTGAGAGGACAAAAAGCGGATGTCCGACGCTTTAACCGAGTTGGTGTTTACGGTGAGTCTACCTATATGAGTTTTAAAACCCTGATTCCAAACCAGTAGTCTACATGGGTTCCAGAATCCTGAAGGAAAAAATGGTGTATGAACCAATCGTTGGTAACCGGCTACCATGGGACTGCATCACCTGACGTTACCGGAAGATTCACTTGTTGACTTGGAGTATGCCGATGAAATAGTTCTATTTGGTGAAGACGCTGACAATGCAAGCATGTTCGGCATGCGATTTTCCCACTCGAAATGCAAAATGTTGCTTAAGGATTGGGTTGCATCGACACCTAAACTAATAAGATGGAGTGAAGTAGTTGAGCGTGTCGACCGCATCACTTAACTTGGGAGCCTCATCAGCCCTTGTGATCTGATGTGTCACGAAATCTCAGCACAGATACAGAAGGCTCGACTAGCTTTTACCAACTTGCGTTATTTATGGCGTGTGCGAGATACCCGTCTACCAAACAAAGGACGAGTTTACTGTGTAGCAGTTCGTTCCGTCCTACTTTATGGCAGTGAAACATGGCCGGTAAGAGTAGAGGGTATCCGTAGGTTACTAGTGTTCGACCATAGGTGTCTTCGAAGCATTGCTCGTTTATCCTGGGACCACCGAGTAAGTAATGCAGTTGTTAGGAAACGAGTACTAGGTTACGATGGCAAATCAATTGATGAAGTAGTGGGACTTCATCAGTTGAGATGGCTGGGACACGTGTTACGCATGTCCAACGACCGACTGTCTCGACAAGCGATGTTTTGTAGTGTAGGAGTAGGTTAGAAGAAAGCTAGGGACGGTCAGACCAAAACATGGCACAAATCCATGGCGTCATTGACAAGTGGACTGAGCCATGTTGGTAGGTGCAGACTACCTGATTGGAATCCGCGAGACGATAGCAACCGATGGTTCGAGACCTTGAATGACACATGGCTCAAAATCGTTTGGAATGGCACAGGTACATCTACCCTTTGTGTCCCTTATCTTTTTTTGCAAACTTATTTCACTGGATTATGCTCCTTGGATAACATCTTCAAACACTGATGTTTCCGATTACTGCTTATACTTTTACTATTTCAATGATTGTGGGATTTGGATTGACAATTGTATCTTTATGTTTATGGAGTATGGCAACTTGAACGGATGTACGTACATATCAAGTTCTACATTGTTACCGACTGACGTTGTTCCACTGTTTTGTGGATCAGACGTTTAGGTCGATGGCTCCCGATGTGACCCCATAAGGAAATCACCTGCTTCGGTTTGGGCACCCCGACAGTATCACAGTATCTCATTCGATTTGTGTGAGGGCTGTGATACTGCCCGGGTGCCCAAACCGAAGCAGGTAACGAATAGTTGGAGACTGTGTGTGACATGGTTGAGAATCGATCAGAATGATGTATGTGTGTACACTCTCTGTCTTCCCTTAAACAATGAGATTAAAATCGCTTGAACTAATTCTTTCTTCCTGTACTATGTCCCTATCTTTCCTTTATATATTACCACCACTGAATTAACTGCTTCTATGAATCCGGTGTTCGTCTTGCTGTGCTAATGTGGTATGGCAACTTGGACCTATGCATGTATGTGCCCGGTACTACGTTGTAACTGACTGACTGATTGACTGACTGACTTGGATTTCTCATTTCAATTTAGAATTGAGACAAGATACTATCTGTCCGGATTCACTTGAGTTATTAACTTCGCAATATATCTGTTTACTTCACTTGATATTGTTTTTACTTGAATCTTCCCATTGATGTTTTAGGACTGAAATTGATCAGTCTCTTATTGGCATATGTGCATACTGTGCGTATGCCTCGATATTGCCTTAATTTACAAGCATTATAAGCAAAGATAGATAGTGACTAGCAGTGGAATCCAGGACAAAGCGCGTTTCGTCCTGTTTGGGACTCGTCAGCTGGATGTACCTGCATCTCAGAGTTGATGTTCACTCTGGGACTCGAACTCAGTACCGTTTGCTTCAAACGCCATCGCGTTATCCACTTAGCTACTAAGTCCTGATAGCCACTTGCTTGTGCAATGGGTTGAAGTTTAATTCACTTGATATTGTTTTTACTTGACGAAACGCGCGTCTTGGATTCCACTGCTAGCCACTATCCATCTTTGCCTAATTTTTCTTTGTTTTTTGTATTGACTTTCATATAATTAAATATTTATTCGACTAATCGTGCTTACCATTCTTTACCGTTTTACAATGGAAAGTAATAGTAATAATACGAAAAAAAACCTAATAAACAGTTAGTAAGAATAGATTATCATTAAATCTCATTGTAGCAATTACATATAAATATATTTCGCATGCTTATGCTAATTGGCTATATTGAAATATACAATTTAATACTAATCATAGTATCTGAAATTCTTTACCCTATATATAGTTCATAATAATATTTGAGTTACATAATTTGTGATATAGTCAGTCAGTCAGCTACAACGTAGGACCAAGCACATTTATGCATCGGTCCAAGTTGCCACACCTCATTAACACAACAAGATGGACATCGGATTCATAAAAGTAGTTCATTCAGAGGTGGTAATATATAAAAGAAAGATTGCAATAAGGATATAGTACAGGAAGAAAGAATTAGTTCGTAGAAAGAAAGAAATCTAGTGATTTCAATCCCATAGTTTAAGGGAAGACAAATAGTGTATACACCTACGCCATTCTGATCGATTCTCCAGCCATTGGCTACGATAGTCACACGGATCCCAACCAATTAGTCTGCATCTACTAACATGGCTCAGACTAGAAGTTAGTGACTTTTCAGGAATCAGGGTTTTCCAACTCCCCTACATAGATCCTCCATATCCACCAACCCGGTTAAGGCTTCAGACATTCGCTTTTCATCTTGTCCATGTCGTAAACAACACTTCCGCCACAAGAAGAGGTATTGAGTAGCATTTCCCCGGGCAGTTGGTTGTATACATATAGCCATATAAGAACATATTCTCCCCACTCTCAGCTGTAGCAAAGTATTTAGTCACCATGCAAACTACTAATCATAAATAAAACAAAAAAGATAACACACACTTACCCGATATAATGGAATTTCTTCAGCTAATGAAGGATTTGATTCATATTCACATTTTGATGTATAAAATAATAATGAGAAACGTTTTAATACAACATATTTTGGTAACCATATTAATTTATTTTTACCTCGACCTTTACTATCAATATCAACTATATCTTCTAAGACTATACTTAATAGATTTGTATTCATTCCACACATTGGATCCATTGTCATATTATTATTATTATTACTATTAGGTAATATCAATGTTGGATTCTGAGATTGTATTGATTGATCCATTGTAGTAAGAGTAAGAGTAGGAGTTGAATTAGGATATCAAGTGAAATAAACAGATGTATTGCGAAGTTAATAACTCAAGTGAATCCGGACAGATAGTATCTTGTCTCAATTCTAAATTAAAATGAGAAATCCAAGTCAGTCAGTCAGTTACAACAGAGTACCAGGCACATACATGCATAGGTCTAAGTTGCCATACCACATTAGCACAGCAAGACGAACACCGGATTCATAGAAGCAGTTAATTCAGTGGTCAGTCAGTCAGTCAGTAACAACGTAGAACTTCGTACGTACGTACATCAGTTCGAGTTGCCACACCACATTAGCACAGAGATGCACTTGTCGATTCAAATCCCGTAGTGGTAGAGGTAATAAGAGTATAAGCAGTAATCGGGAAGATTAGGGTTTGGAGATGTTATTTAAAGAGTATAATCCAGTGAAAGAAATTTGGAAAGAGGAAAAAAGGGACATGAAGAATTCAGAAGATTAGAATTTGGGAGAACACAGAGAGTGGATGCACCTGCGCCATTGCAAACGATTTTGAGACATGTCATTCAGGGTTTCTAACCATCGGTTGCTGTCATCTCGCGGTCCCCAACCAGGTAGTCTACACCTACCAACATGACTCAGTTCACTTGTCAGTGACTTCATGGACTTGTGCCACGTTTTGGTTTGGCCGCCCCTAGCTTTCTTCCAACCTACTCCTATACCACTGAACATAGCACGTCGAGGCAGTCGGTCGTTGGGCATGCGTAACACGTGTCCCAGCCATCTCAACTGATGAAGTTTCACTACTTCATTAATTGATTTGCCATCCTTACCTAGTACCCGTTTCCTAACAACTGTGTTACTTACTCGATGGTCCCATGATATACGAGCAATGTTTCGAAGACACCTATGATCAAATACTAGTAACCTACGGATACCCTCTACTCTTACCGGCCATGTTTTACTGCCATAAAGTAGGCCGGAACGAACTGCTGCGCAGTAAACACGTCCTTTGGTTGATAGACGGATATCTCGCCTACGCCATAAATGACGCAAGTTGGCAAAAGCGGTGGTAATATATAAAGGAAAGATAGGGACATAGTACAAGAAGAAAGAATTAGTTCAAGCGATTTTAATCTCATTGTTTAAGGGAAGACAGAGAGTGTACACACATACATCATTCTGATCGATTCTCAACCATGTCACACACAGCCATATAAGAACATATTCTCCCAACTCTCAGCTGTAGCAAAGTATTTAGTCACCATGCAAACTACTAATCATAAATAAAACAAAAAAAAGACAACACACACTTACTCGATATAATGGAATCTCTTCAGCTAATGAAGGATTTGATTCATATTCACATTTTGATGTATAAAATAATAATGAGAAACGTTTTAATACAACATATTTTGGTAACCATATTAATTTATTTTTACCTCGACCTTTACTATCAATATCAACTATATCTTCTAAGACTATACTTAATATATTTGTATTCATTCCACACATTGGATCCATTGTCATATTATTAGTATTATTATTAGGTAATATCAATGTTGGATTCTGAGATTGTATTGATTGATCCACTGTAGTAGTACTAGTAGGAGTAGGAGTTGTATTAGGATCATCATCATCATGATGATCGGGATCATTGTGATCATCATGAATAGATTGTTTCATCATTGATGGTATCAATTGTAGTTGTACATAATAATTTAAACGTGTACGTAAATTTCTTTCTAATTGTTTTTGTTGTATTAATTCTTTATAAATTAATTGATATTGTTCAGTTAATTGTGTTATATGTTGATTACGTTCAGCTAAATCTTTTTTATATTGATCTATTGTATTATGTAAATTATGTATATCTTTATGACTAGTAGATTGTAAATTTTTATATTTTTTTTCTAATTGTTTATATTCATCATCATTATGACGATGTGAATTATTGAGTTTAGATTTTGGCGGTGGTTGTATTGTACGAGATTTCATTTCACTATAAAATTTCTCAACTAATGTATCTAAATTACGTTGTTGTATATCTTTATCTTTTTGTAATTGTTGTATACGTTCAGTAAGTGTATTATTTGTTGTTTCTATAGTACTACAATGATTTCTCATTTCATCTAATTGTTTTGATAAACTATCTATTTCATTCATATTACGATCTAATAAATTTTTTAATCGTAGAATCTCATTATTTGAACTATTACGTAATGTATTTAAATTTGTATCTAAATTACGTAAACGTATCCGTGTCATAGATAATTCCACTTCTTTTTGTATTAATTGTTCTTCCATAGAACGTTTTGTTGTCATGGTTACTTCAAGATTTTCTTTAGTTACTAATAAATCACGACGTATATTCTCTTCGGATAATTTCGATTGTTCTAATAATTCATAAGTTTCTTTATATTTATTTAAATGATTATTATTTAATTCTTGTATATTATGTAATTGTTCAGTTAATTCTTTAATTTGTCCTTCTAAATTATAACGTAATTCTGTGACAAGATTCATTAATGTTGTACACTTCTCTTGAACTTCTTCATTCTCTTTAAGTAAATTAGTATTTTGATGTTTTAAATTATGAATCATTTCATTTTGTTGTGTAATAATACCATCTTGATCATGATTATCTTGGTGTATACTACTAACAGTAGTAGTATTAGTAGTAGAAGGATCATTGATCGATTGAGATGTGATCATTAATTGTGCTTTGATTTGATCTAATTCAATTGATTTTTGTTTTAATTCACGTTCTAATTGATGAATACGATGTTCTAATTGTTCTTTTTCAGTTTTTAATGAAGAATTATCACGACGTTCATTATCTAAGCTCAAATTCATAGATTGATAACGTTGATCTAATTCTTTAAATTCATTATGTATAGATTCACGTTCATATTGTATATTACTTAATTGTGTATAAAGATCATTTAATTGATGATCTAAATCAACTTTCATATTCTTTAATTGATCTATTTCATTTTGTGATTCAATATAACGTCTATTTAGATCTTTTAAAGTAATTTGATCTTTAATAGATTGACATTCTAATTGTTGATAAGATTGTTTTAATTCATTTAATGTTTGTTCAGTGAATTTTTGACGTTCTAATGTTTCATTTAATAAAGTTTGTTGATGATTATTACTTTTTAGATCTATTGTATTATGATTGTTTAGATTACGTGAGAACATTTCTAAATAACGATGATAACGATTAAATGTAAAACCAGCAAATGATAAATTACTACCAGTAAAATAAGCTGGAGGTTGTGGACGTGCTGGTGCAAATGCTCCACCACTATGAGGTAATTTCATACCACCAGCACCACCGCTACTACTATCTGAACTTAAATCTCTTTCATCAAAATTAATATTTGATGTATCGGTTTCTGAATTAACAACTGGTTGAATTGGTGCATTCTCTGATCTTAATTGTTCCCAATTTATTGATTTAAAGAAAGGATGTGATTTAATTTGTTGAGCAGCAGCAACAGCACGATTATTTTTTGCTAATTTAATTTCAATATCTGTTAATAAATCAAATGAACCTAAACGAGTTGTAGATGATTTTAATAAATCTTTAATAAATAATTCAGTATCTGATGAAATTGGATCAGCATCAGTAGGGATACGTAATGATTTTTCATGACCTAATATACGACTATATGTTTCAACTAATGATTGTCCATAAAATGCTGGTTCACCAAAAAACATTTCATATGCAATAACACCTAAAGCCCACCAATCACAAGCAGGTCCAATTTTACCAGCTTTTGCTTGACAACTTAACATTTCTGGACTAATATAATCTGGTGTACCAATAGGTGATGTACAATAATAATAACCATCTTCACCAACACGTACACAAGAACCAAAATCGGCTAATTTTAAATGTCCACCAGCATCTAATAACATATTATCTGGTTTTAAATCACGATGAATAAAACCTAATTCATGTAATGCTTCAAGAGCAAGTACAGTTTCTGCAAGATAAAATCGTGCAATAGTTTCATCAAATGTATCATATTTCTCTAACCAATAATATAAATCTCCACCAGGCATATATTCCATACATAAGTAAACATTGTCTTTATCCTGTCAACAACAAAAAAACAAAAAAAAACAACAGATTTCTTTCAATAAAACTATGAAAAGGATGAAGTTAATTACAACACATGAAATGGACATTCATTATTATGATTATCATTGTATTTTGATGAGCTTCTATTGGTATAACAAGCATCCCGACGTTGTCTTTAAGCATAAGTTTTAGTGAAATTGTATTGAGGTTAGCAATTGAATTTAGGATATGCATTTTGTTCCAGCTAGAGTCAATCAGCTATAATGTAGGACCAGGCATATATATGCATCGGTCCAAGTTACCATGTCTCATTAGCACAACAAGATGGACACCCGACTCATAAAAGTAGTTAATTCAGAGGTGGTAATATATAAAAGAAAGATTGCATATAAGGATGTAGTATAGGAAGAAAGAAGCGATTTAAATCTCTTAGTTTAATGGAAGACAGAAAGTGTATACACCTACACCATTCTGATCGATTCTGAACCATGTCACGCACAGTCTCCAACCATTGGTTACGATAGTCACGCGGACCCCAACCAAATAGACTACATCTCCTAACATGGCTCAGACTGATCAAAATGCTGTCACATTAATATTAACACAACAGTAAAACTTAAACCCTTTTACATGTACATAACTTCACACGTGTTGAACAAGTTTAGCAGATAATATATTGGTAGTGATACAATATTTGAATCTCAATACTGGAAGCTCGATCCATCCAACCGACGATCACAAAATACACTTAAACAGTCAATTCAAATTTTAGTGCCCCCAAATGCCCTGGTACAGTCGAGAGTGGGGAGAATCACCTCTCCTTCTCGAAACTTTCTCATATGGCCACGCGTATACAGACACTACTAGGGAAATTCTACTTCACTTCATTCTCGTGACATTACTGTTGTTTACGAAATTGAGAGCACGAAAAGTGAATATCTGTTAGGAGCTTTCACCGGATTGGTGGACACGGAGGGTCCACCTAGAAGATTTGGAATACCCTTATTCAAAACCAATGGTGCATATGGTCTCCAGTATCCTGAAGAAACAAATGGTGTACGAACCAATTGTTCGTCAGTGGTTACCATGTGACTGCATCTTATGACGTTGCTCCACTACTTCGTGGATCAGATATTTAGGTGAAAGGTTGGGGGAGTGACTCCCCTTTCCTCATACAAATGTTTATATAAATAACAACCTAGTACCAAATACAATTTAACCATTTTAAAATAGTACTAATACTGAAGATAAACTGTAAAACATTTTTAGAAATTATATCTAACACAAACACACACACATACACATACACCACAAGAATGTTTATTTAACAACTATAGTAAAGATCATCAATGTAAAAGTATGTAAAACAATTAATCATTTGACAAATAATGAAGTGCATCACAAATGGAATGTTATTTAAAACAACTGATTAACAATGTTCTCTTCTTTCTCCTCCTTTCTCTAATTCTTAAAAGTGACGGTATCAAGAGTTATATAGAGAGAGTGGAAACAGTTGTTCAATACATCCTTTAATTTCTAATCTATAATAATAATAACAACTATAGTCCATACTTTATGATGTAAACGAGAAAATGCAAATAAAAAAATTTTGTATATGAAAGCAGAAGACGACAATTTCAAAGAGATAGTTACTAAGAGAATAGAAAAAAAAGTAAATAATGTTTTCTTCAAAATATTCACTTCTTTTTTTCTCACTTTCAATGTATGTCCACTTGAATATTTTCACTATTATGACTACGATTATTGTTTTTTTTTGTTGTTGTTGTTGTTGGTGGTGGTGGTGTCATTCTGTGTAACCTTCCGCTGTTACTATCGCACCATTTATTGATCGATATTAAGAGTTAACTACTAAATAGTTCTGGAGATACAAATATCTACATGTAGACGTGCGCGCGCACACACACACACATACACAGAGAGAAACGCCATGTGCAACCTTGACATTCAAATTAACCATGTAACTATAACTAACTTATATAAAATGAAATAAATTGGATTTTGTTTTAATGACAAAAATAAGAATCAAAACTAATGTATGATGATCTTTATCTTTGCATGTTGGTCGCTTTTCTAAAGATTCATTTTAAGTAGTAGGATAAATGTAAATATTGGATAAAGCGATGAGACTATAATATATGGATAATCTTTAAGTGATGCTAGACTAACCTTGACAGTGTTCACCTAATAACCAATACCAAGTGAGGGTTATAAACCTATGTAAGGAATTAGAATTATCAGTATAGGGTTGAGATCATGTTAGGTATGCAGAGGAATATACCAATAATTATCGTGTTAAGTCGAATGGTGTCCTTGGACGTTAAATGGACATTTCTTATTGGTCGATATTTATCTCAATTGTTAAATATCGTGTAAATGTTGTTTTCCATTTTATGATACGATGTGGTTTGTTTGGTTGGTATATAAACAGAGTATGTCTGAAATATAATGATTCATAACTCAGAGACTGTGATTTGCGTTCTAGACTCAACTGGCTGGGTTAGACAGCGAAGCAGGGCCAGTCGGGACTCTAGGTCGTTCATTCCGTGTTTACGTGTCACAGAAGCGATCGATAACTACGCTGCGCATCTAACCTGCAAACCACTCGTTACAACAGATCATGAACAGATTGATGTTAGACCACCATTGAAAACCTAGAAGCATTAGGCGGCCATTTTTGTCTTATTGTGAAACTATTCAGCAGTGTGCATCCACGATTCCGCTCGCGGGATTCCGACCCAGGGCCTTCAGTCTGGCGCGTGAACGCTTAACCTCTAAACAATTGAGTCGGCATTCAATGGTGTTAATGTCTAATCTCAAACAATCCGCGAAATTGAGCGACCATTTTCCATTGTACTGAGGTAGATACCTATCTTCACCCGACAATTATGATTTACAGTTGATAATTAAGGTTAGAAATAAGATTTAGGGTTTTCATCATAAACTGACATTAGCTATAATGCCAAAACTCTAGTTAGACAAATGGATGAGTGAATTTCGCGCCAAATTTCGAGACATGTTATCTTATACGTGATTGGTTTATCCATAAATAATAGTCTCGCCGATATGACCAATTATGTTGACGTTTATTTGGTGATTTTATATCACAGATTGATACTATATTTAGGAAACTGGTGAAAATCAAACAGGGCTTGTTAAGTATTTCATCGTAGTATGAGATTTTACAAAAATATACATTCACGACACTGTAAGGGATAGATCCTAGGGCCCTGACAGTCTCAAAATGGGAGTTTAACCTTCAGATTGTCGAGACAAGATCCAACGGTTTATATTTCCAACTTTAGTCAACTCGTAATATTGAGTGACCATTATCTGTTATCACCGGTGCTATTCGTCTTATCTAAGACTCCACTGGTCAAGATTTCTTGCCAGAACTCAGGGAATTACCTCTCAAAGTTAGTCACTTTTAAGAGTCTGATAATTTATCAGTATAGAAAGTTGTTATTGTTATTCGCCTAACTACTAGATGTAAAAGATCTATTTAGAGAAAATGTATACAGATTTTATCAAAATAGCTCAGAGTAGATAGTGAACAGAAAAATATTGATAATGATTTTGTAGAAACGTTTTAACCTATAAGATTTTCACATGTTCTAGTACATAGTCAGTACTGAACAGAGATTTATCCCAGGATCAAGTAATTTACCCAAAAATGTAACGTCTAAATTGAATATTAAGCGCTTAAACCGGATTGATGAATACCGAGTTGGAATACCTCAGCTCTAAAATAAATGATTCATAAAGTATCCAGAATCCTGGGAGGATAAAACACTAAAAAAGCTTATTTAGTTGGTAAATATCGTCGAATACATCTGTGCATCTGCTACGTTCAGATAGATGACAATATTACCTAAACTGGCAAACGGAACAAAGGTCAGTAACAGAACAACATGATAGACTAAACTATTCCACTGCTAAGAAGATCGGATTCAGCCGGGGGGAATGTACATTCCATAAGCACACAACATAGTACAAAAATGTCCTTGAGAAAACGTTATAAAATAGCGTGCTAAAAGAGGAAGCAAACTAATGAAATTTAAGGTCTTTGCAAGTGGGAAATACAAACTGAAGGTAAAAATGGGCACTTTTCGCACGAAAATGAGAAATTCACATTTTCAAAATAAAATTACAAAAAACAAGAAGTTAACCAAGCGATTTCTGGGGATCTAGTATACCAAACAGGATGCTGCCTTACAGTTATGGGGATTACACCTTTAGGTAAAACGCTCAGTAGATCGTGTTTGTTAAAAGTTTACGATGCAAGTATAATGGAAATTCCATTTGTGTGACTTCGAACATACTTACAAGCAAAACTACTCTTTTTAATTGAATTCTTCTTACGCCTTCTTCTGATGAAAAAAAAATTAAAAACCACCAACCGACACAATCTATAAGTCAGTGATAAAACGATCCTGCACTGAAGCGAGATCGTGGATGCGCACCGCTGAGGAGTCGTCTCACAATAGGAAGAAATGGCCATTCAGTGCTTACAAGTTTTCTATGGTGGTCTAGCTTCAATTGACTCACGATCTCAACTATTAAAATTACTATAATATCCAAAAACCCCTTCTAATGCTAAACAATTAATCATAACAAATAAGGAATGGATTGATGTCTCAACTTTAGTCAGGGAAGTCATGGTAGGTGGTCTTAATAATTTTTCTTCATCCCTTCAGTTGGTTTTTGTGACTCTTCTCGTATTTGATTATTAACACACTTAGAATTAAGTAATTTCCAATGATTACAGTTTTAATAATGTTTTTTTTTAAAGATTCAACCTATCATATGTGTTAAAAATATACATCCATGTTACTATGTAGTTTTTATTATGCTTATGAATTTATTTATTTGAACACATAAATATTGGTAAAAAGGGGCACCGAACACATATGCGCCACACAAGTCACTTGATTTGTGTGTGGCTTGTAGTACTTCCCGGGTGCCCAAACCGAAGGTGGTTTTCTTAGGGGACCGA